AAAAAGGACGAGGCTATATAACCTCAAACTTGCAGACTTAACTCTTTTTTTTTTGTTGTTTTGTTTTGTTTTTCAAGACAGGGTTTCTCTGTGTGGTTTTGGTGCCTGTCCTGCATCTCACTCTGTAGAGAACTCACAGAGATCTGCCTTGAACTCACAGAGATCTGCCTGCCTCTGCCTCCCGAGTGCTGGGATTAAAGGCGTGTGCTACTGCTGCCTGGCCAGACTTAACTCTTAAACTTCTCCAAACAGTACCACTAACTGGGAACCAAGTGCTCAAATTGGAGCCTATTTCTTGTTCAAATCATCATAGATTGCTTAGGTAAGACCAGAAAAGGACAGACCACAGAAACCAAAACAACACAAATGACATGTCATCAAACCAAAATGCTATGTATGACAATGAACAGAATAAAAACACTACTTAAAATGAATTAAAATACTTGCAAAATAGAGATCCAGTAAAAGGGTTAATATCCAGAATGTATACAGAACTCAACAGTAAAAATGGTAATAATAATCATCAAAATTCCAAATAGTAATATGCATAGAAATTTTTCCAAAGAAGACATACAAATCCATTCTAACAGGAAAAAAAGTTCAACATTTATCATTAGAGAAATGAAAATATAACCCACAATGAAATATCACCTCATTCCATTTAGAATGTCTACTATAAAAAAGACCAAAAAACTTGCTGACAAGGATATGAACTGAAGGAAAGGGTCCCACCTCTACACATTGCCAGCACGGCTCACAACTTAGTGTCCTCATGGAAAACACTGTGGAAGTTCCTCACAGGCTTCCAGAGAGACCTAACAGGACCCACCCCATTGGGTACACCAATCCCATCACCACATGTGTAAACCACAGAAAACGGAATGTCAAAGAGACATCTGGACCCCCCTGGTCATTTCAGCACTGTTCCAAGAGTCAATACACAGATTCAGAACAAATCCACTAGGGCTGCCCACAGAATACTATCCTTCCACAGTGAAGCTGAAATCCTCTAATTCCCAGCAATGAGGGGGAGCCTAGAGGGGATTCTGTTAAACGAAGCTGAAATGACCAGGTGCAGGAAGACACATGACGGTGCCATTCACTATGTGGGGTATGAGAAGCCAATGTCTGGGAAGCAGAGAGTAGAATAATGTTTACCAGAGGTGGGGGAGGAAGGCAGAGGGGCTAGTCAATGAATAGAGATTTAAAGGAAGAAGGGACCAGTCCTGTCGTGCTGGTCCTTCCTCCTGCCCCATACACACCATATCCAACCTCCTGGCCTAGCCCAGGTCACACATCCTGAGCTCTGGTCTGGAGGGCTCCCTGCACCCTAGCCTGCCTGCTCTCTCCCCAATCCCCAGACCTAAACCAGATCGCACAGTTGTGCACCAGCGCATCCTGGTGAGTCTTTGGAACTTCGCCTGCCTGCACCATACCCAATCCTCAGGCCTAGCCTTGGTGGCATAGACTGTCTGCCAGCCTAGCTAGTCTATATAGTGGCCAAGATCCTGGCCACCCAGACTATCCTCACTCCCAGGCACAGCTTGGGTCGCACATCTCACACACCAGTCAAACAGATCCAGCCAGGTATACACCATTTGATTTCCTTCTCATCACTGCTTTCTTACCAATGCTTCCTTCTTGACCACTGAACTGGAATCATCCTGTTCCTCCTATCCAAAACCAACCCTGAATCTGAAAGTATTACCCAATTCCTCGTACCTGATACAAAATTAACTGAACTCGTGCAACAACAAAAACAAAAACATACTTCCATTCAGCAGAGGCAACCTAGAATCTCACACTAGACATACAATCAAGAGAGTCCACATGCCGAGGTCTCATTGGAAAAAACACAAGATGAAATGCTAAGACAGTATGTCCTCCCCTCAAAGCCAGCAGGTCTACAGAAGTATTCTCCAGTGAGGCTTACTTAAGTGAATCCCAGGAGACTGAGTTAAATTTTTAAAGCTTTATTTTTATTTTGTGGATATGAGTGTTTTGAGTGCATGTATGTTATGTCTGTGCACCACGTGTGTGGAGTCCAGAAGAGGACATCAGAAGCCCTGGGACTGGAGTTATGGACAGTTATGAGCTGCCATACAAGTGCTGGGAATCAAACCCAGGTCCTCTGGAAGAGCAAACATTTCTCTTGGGTGCTGAGCCATCTCCCCAGCCCTAGGACACAGATAAAAAAAAAAAACCCCAAACTTACACAATTGATGGAGTTTAAAGAAGACAGAAGCAAATATGAAATCAATAAACTTAAACAGAATAGCGATAACCACCTGAGCGATGCCCAAGAGAACACAAACGGAAGGCCGAACAGATGACAGGGACAATTAGGATCTGAAAACGGGATCAGTAAAGAGACAGAAACACTGAAGAGAACTCAAGCTGAAATGAAGGTAGAACTGAAAAATGAAAATCCAGGGGAAAGCCTTAAAGTAGAATGGATAAAACAGAAGATACCATATCAAGACTTTGGGTCTCCCCAAACTGCTCTTAGTTCTGCTGCGTGGAGAACAAGAAACTCTCAGATACCAAATGGGCACAGCTGCTTGACTTTGGACTTCCAACCTCCAGTGGTAGGAACTAAATAAATCTCTTTTCTTCATTATTATCAACTGCAGACCTTCTGTTATAGTAACACCAAACAAAGATCTCTACCCCCAAAACTTTTGACTAAGCCTACAATGTGCTTAAGAGAGTTTCCTGGTGTACAGTGAACATTTAGTACTTACTCCCTTAATGGAACAAAGAAACTATATAGTATATGTATAAGACATCAATTACTCTGACTTGGGCATTTTCCCATTAGTAAGTTTCTGAGGTACAACCAAAATACCAACATCGCGACACTATCACATGTGGAAACCCATCCACTGTTCCACTAGAACAAGGCCAGGAGTCTAAAAACTCCACATCCTAATCTTTAAACTTCCCCCATGCATCCAGAGCCTATGGGCAAGAGAGAGAGGGGGGATCTCTTAGCACCAAAGCAGACGCAGATAAGGCAATTTCCATGAAAGGCAGAAAGATGGTACCCTAGAAACTCAGGGGGCAGAAACCTGGCACAAGGTCTGTGTTCCAGAGTCAGAGAATACGTCACCTTTCTGTGCAGCCAGCTCCCACAGGTCCTGGGCCGCTGCAAAAGACAGTGCCATGGGGTATTCCACGAGGACATGCTTGCCAGCCTGAAGAAACTGCCTTTGAAAACAGAAACACAGGGAAAGGATTCTTCAGGTGAACACTCAAATGCCCTGTGTGTCAGAAAGCACAACACTGCAAATGCACAAGAGTCTGTGTGAAATGTAACAACAGCCAAGAGTCAGTGCCCTGCAAAATAAAGAATGAGCTACATCTCAACCTTTGTCCATACTGTGAGGAAGAACTTTTCTAGTTATAAAGTCATTTGACTATTCATCAACGTTCAAACTCTAGTTTGCTTTCTACTACTGTGATAAACTATGATCAAAACAACTTGGGGAGTAAAGGGCTTATTTCACCCCCCCTCCCTTTTTTTGGAGACAGGATCTCACTATGTAGCTCTGACTATCCCAGAACTCACAATGTAGACCAGGCTGGCCTGGAACTCACAGAGGTCTGCTTACCTCTGCTTCTCAAATGCTGGGAGTAAAGGCCTGTGCCACCACTGTGCAGCCTGACAGTAGATCACAAGATAACCAGAATTTTCTTTGTTGACCATTAAGTCCCATTTGCATAGTTTTAGCTTGCTCAGTCCTCTCTCCACATGTAAGGCAAAGCCTACCTGCATCAGGAAACCTACCTTATATAGTCTTCATGGCTGGAACTCTCACTGCAGATGTAGGCGACCTCAATCTCTTGGCTGCAGAGAGCATCTTCCAGAGAAATCTGCCGTACTTCATCAAGGCTCCCAAGTTCTCGTCTGTTTCAGAATAACAGAGTCTCAAAAGTAGACAGAGCCAAGGCTTATATTGAATGAACAGTACTCTGCTCCCCTCCTTCCAACAATGCCCAGGGATGGGGCTTTTGGGAAGTAAGAAACTCATTTTCTCTTTCCTATTTCCTGGGTCTTTCACTGTAGAGTGAGGAGAGCCAGCAGCATTAGGGTTGAAGCCAGGGGACCTGGAATGGCAGAACTGCCACCAATAGCTTGTAGAAGCTAGAAGCCTTCCGAGTTATTTCTCTAAGATAAAAAGAATCAGACCTTTGTATCTCACATAAAAGGATCTTTGTGGTCATTTCCCACTGGAAAACTAAGTTCCCAATCAAATACTGTGACTATTCTACCTAGCCAAATCCCACACATGCATCAGTCACCCTGGTATAAACTACCACATACTCCAAGCTCCTTCACATACTTCAAGGCTTGGTGACCACCAGGAGAAAAGTCAGCCAGCATCCCTGCCTCCATTACAACCGGCCCAGAAAGGCTCTAACTGCCACAGCTGACCAGTGGGGCCAGGATGGAAACCTGGGTGACTATCACCATGGCAGAGAACAGAGTGGTGAAAGAGCCCAGGCCACGCCATTCTGTACCGTGCCCCAGTGCAAAAGCTGTAGGGAGCGAGTGATCCTAGAAGGATGCTGTCAACCTGGGGCAGCCAGCAGACGCTCCAGCCAATGGGGAATCTGTGAGCTACCCAACCCACACTGCTAGGTCTGACCAACACTTACTGTCTGCCTACTGTGTGCTGGGCACTGTGGGAGAAAGCATGGAGAATGAGCTCACATTCTGACAGAGGCACGGAGACACACGTACACATGCACCACCACCACCAACCAAAAGACTAAGTGAGAATTGTGCGGGGGAAATGGATGGAGACTGGGGAAGCCCAGGAACACATCTAGGTTTCAGGCCAGGCTTTCTAGGGAAGAAACAGAACCCAGAAGGGAGACCATAGACAAGAGAACAGTGATACCAGGACGCAGGAAAGCAGGGCTGTGGGTGGGCCGTCTTCCCAGACAACCTAGGGGGTTGAGGAAGTCTCAAGGCATGCACCGTGGCAGGTAACTAGCGCTTACGTGGAAAAAATATTTCCACTTCAACCTCGAGGGCACATTATACTTGATTCTAACTTCAGGTAGGGCCCACTGGGTGTGCTGGCTAACAATAATCACGGTTTCCCTGTTGCATACAGCCCCCCTCCCCCCTTCAATCTGACGGGGAAGAAAGGACGGACTTAAGAGAAGATCCCAGCACATATGGTTTTCTCTCACGCCTGGAAACGGGCCAACTCGAGTCAGTCAGGCTGGAAGAATGTGGCCCCGTGAGTGAAAGACAAACAGACTTTCTGCACGGACCCCCACAGTAGTCATTTATGACTTGTGAAAACATTTATCTGGCTAGGCATGTGGCACACGCCTTTAATCCAGCACTCAGGAGGCAGAGGCAGGTCTGTGAGTTCAAGGCCAGCCTGAGCTCCAGGACAGGTGTGGCTACACAGAAAAACCCTGTCTGGGAGAAAAAAAAAAGAAAAGAAAAGAAAAGAAAGGAAGGAAATATTTATCTGATGCCTTCTGGAACACTGGAAGTAGAGATCTGCCTGAACCTGTCCCCAACACACCTCACCCCCCAGCATCTGTGTCTACTTCATAACTGATCCGACACGGCAGATGCTTAGCCGGTGAGTGGGGTGAGGGCAGACCTGACCATGAAGAAAGAAAGAAGGAGCGTTCAGTTTGCTTCCATTGAGTTATGGTGAAAAAAATCCACACAGAAAATAAAAGCAATAAAAGCAGAAAGGGACCTGGAGTGGGGTGCAGGAGATGGGAAGTGGAGGGTGAAGAAGCAACTAGAACAAATGTTACTTAAAAATGCCATAAGGAGACCTAATAATTTGCATGTTAACTTTAGAAAAATTAATTTAAAAAAAGTTCAGTGTGAAAAGAGCACATAATGTTGGACTCAAACACTTTCTTCTAAATGTAATTCTTGGGTTTTGCAGTTGTTATACCCTCAACAAGATCACCGAATCGGTCTATGTCCCTGCTTTCTTATGGACTGGAGTTGGTACTGAGTACTGAGTACTGAGTACTGAGTACTGAGTACTTACTGAGAATGGTGTAAGGACGACAGTGTACAAAGCCACCAGGAAAAATGTTTCGAATGACAGAATGGCTAAGCGACACACGTCCAGACTTCTTCAGGCCAAACCTCACTGTGTACCTTCTGTAGCAGACAAACACCGTGCTCATTTGCTGCTCCAGGTGGGGTCTGCCCTGGGCATCACTCACTGGACGTGCGGCTGGAGGCCCTGACTCTTCAGTTCCCCGACGGCTCTAGTGGGGTTTCCAGCCCCCACTCCGTGCGGTTCTCGGAAGAAGCTGGCTTTCCCTTACTCTGGGTCTAGAAACCCCCCATGCCCTGTGGTGTTACCACTCACTGTGATTTCCATGACACTGGAGCACACACCAAGTGGGACTTACCTGGACACAAACCCAATCAGGTTTAGGAATGGTGACGAGTGTGGATCCCTCAAGTCCCTTATCCTCACGGAGCCAGCTCTGCCAACGCCAACCACCACCACACCAAATTTCCTCTCGGGCTGAAATACCAAAGACCAAAGTGGGGTTTGAAAACAGTCCAGGCATCTGCTGCAGTACTTCAAAACAGAGGGCTGGGTCGGGCTCTGGCAAGCAAGGGAGGCTGGCAACCAGACATCCAAGAGCTGGAGTATGACTACCTTGGAAACCAGGTCTCAGACACAAGAGACTCGGAACCAAAACATTTTCAGAAAGAACTCTGCCCATTTCTCCGTTAAAGACCTCCTGGGCATCTACCAGAAGGTTGCGCCCATTTGGTTCTATCTCCGACCACTTCTCCACAGTCAAGGGAATTTTCTGTTGTAAGCCACACCTCCCCTGAGTCCAGCATCTACACACCTGGGCTCTACTCAGCTGGGAGTCATTCAGAGGCAATCCTGCTATCTGGGAGGCTGACAGACAAGGGCACACAGGAAGACATCTCTTTATTCAGACTCTAGACCCATGTTGCTGAAGTCCTTACCATGGCTGACTTCCAGCCACCTTCATATTCACTCTACTCTGGTACTTTACACAGTAATTAAATAATACTGCTAGAAGACAGATGTTAATAAACTACACTAAAAATAAAGTCCATTTTAAAAACTATATAACAACAACAAGACAATAATCCAAATATAAAAGTTACTGCCACATTCTAGAACCCAGTTCTATTTATGTGCCTATATATGTAACGATTATAACTAATGAAAAAGAGACCGTGGATATGAGAGGGAGTAATGAGAGGAGGAATATGGAAGGGCTGGAGGGGGGAAGTGAGGGGGTAAATGATGCAATTATATTTTAATTTTCAAAAATTGAAAAAAAATAATTTGGAGGAGAAAAATAAAATTGATTTTACCATTACAGCCACAAGCCAAGTCTGGAATCCACTGTTCATGTGGTGTAAATCTTGGTAACTAAGTTAAGGAAGTAAATGGATTCCCAGCATTTAAGACTGTCTTAGGCCACAGTGAGATTGGAGCCCTACCAGGACCTTTCAGTGAGGGCAAGCAATGGAGTCATTACCGTGGGGACTGCAGTGGACCTGCTCAGACAGACACACCTCACTGGGACTGAAGGGACACTAGCCCACTCGAGCATGTGGCTCTGGCAGGCCTCACCCTTCTCCCCTGTTCCCTCTGCCTTACTAAAAGCCATTAGACAACATTTCTAACGAGAGCCACCAAGGTCCATTCCCTTATTTGGCCACTTCCTCCTCCTGAGGCTGACCAACAAGGTCCAGCACTCAAAAGCTCCCTTTGGCTCTCCTAATTAACATGTCCAATTAAAATTAAACACCTCATCCTAACACAGGGTTTGCCCCTTTAACTTTATAAACTGACGTTTGCCTATGTGCCATGTCTGTCTCCCCTCTATCCAGAGGCAGTCCTTTGTCCCTCTGGGGTAAATACCCCTGGCCCCTTTCCCCTGGCCCCTTCCCCTTCTCCCTGGTCCCCAATCTCCTCTACTGCAGCCTAGCCCCTTCTAACACAGACCGCCCCTTCTTCTCTGCTTAACACTCTGCAAGGTGTAATTTTTTTGCTGCTGTTTTCTGCCTGAGTCAGAAAGCAGTCACTTCAACTTTTCTTCCCCGATTAATAAAGGGTCGCTCTGTGAAAACAGGTGTCTGGGTGTGGTGCCTAATCCGGGCCTGAGAGGGAGCCCCCCCCCCCCATGTGCAGCAGTCCCCTTCAGTGACAGCTGTGGGCGCAGGTGAGCTCCTGGTTGGTGGCTAGAGTGGATAAGCCAGGAAGTCACAGGAAAGTGTCTATGAAGAAGTGACCAGAGACAGAATGCCCTATCACAGAGACACTTCCAGAAGAATGTGGTCAATGGTTACATTAGCGTTTTTGTGATTATAGCAAATTTTTGAAGTAATCAACATATAAAAAGGCCCTGTTTCGACTCATTATTTTGGAGGTTCCAGGCCATGACAGGTTGGCCCTGCTGCATGGACTAACTTTAGGTAGGTGGACATAGATAACAACCCAGAAGGTCCTAATACTTCCTCCGTCTCCTAGAGCCATGTGCACACCAGTAGCCTAGAGGGAAAACGCTAACTGTTTAGGATGTTTCTAAACTCTTTGGGGGGGGAGTGTGGGGGGGTATTGAGTAGGTGAAATAAGGAACGCTGGAAACAATATCCTTCATCGGTTGGCCTTGCTGCACGGGCCTGGAGGGCCAGCACACCATGCCAGGAGCACACAGCGGGTGAAAACCCCTCACTTCATGGCTAGGGACTGACTGACAGGGAGAGGCAGTATAGTGACCCACAGCAGGCACAGACAAAAACTCAGGGGAGATCATTTTTCCTCCACCACCCACAGCCATGAACAAGTAGGTAGCCTGGGGCGGGGGGGTTTGAAAAATCTCAAGAGGGAAAGGATACTCTAGGAGAGAAATAAGGCCCACAGCAGCAATAGTACCCCTTCCAGCCCTCTGCGTGGAGCTCACCTCAGCACTCATCCTGGTCTCTCCCGTTGGTGCTGTGAAGACAGAAGGAGGTTCAGGACCCTGGGGACACTGGCACAACCTCTCTATGAATTCTGTCTTCACAGAGCTTCAGGCGTCAACGCTGTAAGAGGGAACCGGGAGGTGGGGACTGTTGTGTGACAGACAGACACAGACATCGATTCACCTCCAGAAGGGAGCCCTGGGTAGACCGAGGGACAACTGTACCCGTGTCCAAGCTGGTGAGTCGGCAAGTTTAGAGCTGGGGTCGCTAACAGAGCGTGGGGAGGGGTCACTTACAAGGAGCGGGGGTGCTCCACAGCACAGGGCAGACTCCAGGACCGGCGAGCCTGGCGCTCTCCACGCCGCTTGCAGTGGGCAGTGAGTGCAGTCAGGAATTCCTTTTTGCAGCCTGGCTGCTCAGTCTTCACCCCTTGCCACCGTTTTCTACTTTTTTTTTTTAACTGCTGGGTGGGAACCCTCAAGAATCTCTCTCCAAGTTCCTGTTTTCCCCCCACATTGGGACTTTTTTTGTTTGCCTTGTCACCCTTTTCTCCCTTCTTGGAGGAAATGTTGCAATTTGGAGAACATGCCTTGGAGCAGGAACGTAACTGAGGAACTGCCTAGATCAGATTTGTCTGTGGCCAGTCTGTAGGGCATTTTCTTAATTATGGCTCATTGCTACAGGGAGGGGTCAGCCCACTGTGGGCAGCGCCATCCCTAGGCAGGTGGCCCCAGGCTGCGCGCTGCGTAAGAAAGGCAGCTGAGGAGGGCAGGAGGAGGAAGCAAGCCAGGAAACTGCCTCCCTCCCCAGCTTCAGTGCCCGGTGTGGCTTCTTCTGTCTGAAGTTCCTGCCTTGACCTCCCTTAATGACTGTAACCTGCACAGTTCTACACAGAGCTCATCAGCAAAGCTGCATTTGGCCACCACAGTCACTACAGCCCTGGAGCAGGCATCGGAGGCTCCAGCTACCTGTCATACGCTATCCCCAGACCCCACCCAGCCTTGATCCGAGAGGTCTACCTACGCCTCAGAGCGGAGTGGCGACTGTAATCACCTGAAGTTCATCCTCGGCTGTCTCTCTTCCACTCACTGATCTCAACTCTTGCCTGTTTTTCCACAGTGAAAATCAACAACAATTCACTTCCCATTGCTCCATCATATTCTTTGTCTTATCAGGATTTGTGTGTGTGAGTTTTGCTTTTGAGCTAGGGTCTCACTTTGTAGCCCAGGCTGGCACGAAATTCATTCTGCAGCCTAGGCTGGCCTCCAACTATCAGCAACCCTCCTGCCTCAGCCATGTTTTATAATGAGACCTACAGAGTAAATTATAATGACAATACAGGAAAGTCTGGGATTACATGCACCAAAATATTAACAGCAATTATGTCCCTGAGTCCCAGAAGTCTCAGATAATTTGTTTCTTTTCTAAAAGTTCAAGTGTAGTTAGTCATTAATATTTCTTCCCTCCCTCCCTCCCTCTTCCTTTTTTTACTTTTTTTTTTTTTCCAAGACAGGATTTCTCTGTGTAGTTTTGCGCCTTTCCTGGATCTCTCTTTGTAGACCAGGCTGGCCTCGAACTCAGAGATCCACCTGCCTCTGCCTCCCGAGTGCTGGGATTAAAGGTGTGAGCCACCACCGCCGGCTCCTTTTTTACTTTTTTAAGGTTATTTTCAAGATAGGATTTCTCGTGTCCTGGCTGTCCTGGAACTCACTCCGTAGACTAGGCTGGTTTCAAACTCACAGAGATCACCTGCCTCTGCCTCCCAAGTGCTGGGATTAAAGTCCTGTGCCACCACTGTCTGGCAGTCATTCATATTTCTTAGTTTTCTGGCTATTGATAATACTTTGTCTCCTATTAGACTTCGATGTGGGTTGTTCTGGAATGTACAATGTAAGAAATGTATCTGCATATTTATTAATACAAACTTTTACAATAAAATGAGGTCTAGTATTCTAGTTCAATAATTTCAAAAACTTCTCGGAAGTAATATGGAAATTTCATTAATTATGGGGGGAACTTTGCAGTACAATATTGTTTGCTTTGTATATTCTGAGTGCTAATATTAAATCTTATGTTGGAAATCCTGTTGCCTTACATAGCCATCCTACCAAGCAAGCATTATCCTTAGCCCTGCTTTGACAAATGAGGAAACAGACAGGAAGAGGTTCGCTAATGTGCCCCAAATCTACTAATGGCAGCTGTAAGGAAAACTGCATAAGTATAACGTTTTCTTTTTTTTTCCCCCGAGACAGAGTTCCTCTGTGTAACAGTCCTGGAACTCACTCTGTAGACCTAGAACTAGAGATCTGCCTGCCTCTGCCTCCTGAATGCTGGGGTTAAAGGGTGTGCCACCACCGGCTTTAGATTTTTGTTTTGTTTTTTTAAAGTAGGAGATAAATAACATCACCCTTATTTCTGAGTTTTTCAGATAGCACGCAACCTGCAATGAAATCCTCACAGCGTCTTGCAACACTTCTTTTTTCTTCAGTTTCCAAATAATAAAGTGCAGCTAGGAGAGAGTAAAGGACACTCTTGGAGCAGATGGTCACCCATCACTCAAAATTCCAGGGCAGAGTTCAAAGTCTCCATTCCGGAGATGAAACGGGTCAACCACGGGCTCAGGCTCAGCCCGGTGGATTAACACCGCGCGATGCAGCCACCAATCTACATGAGGCCCGAAACCATCTACACTTTCGAACGAGGTGCATGCAGATTTCATTTGTCTGCACTCGGTAATGCCCGTCTTGCAGAGCGGAGTGTCCGGCTCGCCGTCACCGGGCCTGCGAAGGGCCGGGCAGTGAGGAGCCGGTGACCAGGGTGCTCCGGGTCCCGAAGGGCGGCTCGGGACCTCTCGACGGCCTCCGGCTCCCGCCCCAGCACTTCAGGAACTCGCGCCCAGCCCCGCGCCCCTCCCCGGCCTGCGCTCACCTCTTCCAGCCGCCCGCCTGCGCCCCGCTCCGGCTCTCCTGCAGTGCCGCGTTCCCGCCGCTAGGGGTAGCGGGACGAGCGGCTGCTGGGACTCGATTGGCTGCCCGGCTGGTGGGCGGGGCTTCTGCCGGGCGGTCTCCGTGGCTGCCTACGCTGCTGAGCTGGGCAGCATTGTTGGTTCCCGCCCCGTGGCCGGTGGAAGATGCACCGGTTTTCACACGGCTTTGGTGTGGTATCGCTGCTTTCTCAGCTCCCTTCGCGCCATATGGGAATGCCTGAGGCTTTTTTATTCTGGTGGTAGGTACAGTCGGGACCTTTTCTAGTTTAGTGGCCCAAGCACAATTGATCTGATACAAGTTTGTTTCGGTAAGAAGCGAAGATTCTAGGAAACCAGTGTTCGTGATTCCCTGCCCTCAGAGCTAGGAAACATTTTCCCAGGGATAGCCTGGTCTCTCCCTGGGAATGCCCTAGGAGTAGCCAGCCACACTGTAGAGAATCAGGGTGCTCCGTGCATAAAGTATACCGTCTAGTTTAGGGGTGCTAAGGGAGAAAAGTAGGGGAGCATATCCTAAGAACGCTTTGATCTCAAGGGCTGGTCTGTTTCAGGTTGACCATCATTTCCCCCTTCTTTACCCTATGATGAAGCTAATAATGTTTTCTTGGTTGCAAAAAGAAATCAAGCCTTTATTTCCAGGTGGTGTTTGTTTGTTTGTTTCCCGAGAAGAGATAAAAAGTCTTCACTCCAGATAGGGCACCCAGTACAATTACAAGTGTAACTTGGAGTCTGACCACTTCTTACCTCATTTCCATCATCTGCCTCCTGAGAAGTTAAAATTGTCCTCTCCCTGATCTCCCTGCAGTCTTTCACCTATACGGCAGCCAGAGTGACCTTAAAAATAACTGGGCTGGAGAGATGGCTCAGCAGTTAAGAGCACTGGCTGCTCTTCCAGAGGACCCCGGTTCAGCAACGACATAGCAGCTCACACCTGCCTTTAACTCCGGTTCCAGGGGAGCCAACACCCACCCACCCATTCACATATATGCGGGCAAAACAATACACATAAAATGGAAATAAGCATAGAAAAAATTAATTAAAAGATAATTGCTGGACATGGTGGTATAGACTAATCCCGGCACTTGGGAGGCAAAGGAGATCAAGGCCAGTCCATGCTGCATAAAACCCTGTCTCAAAATTAAGGCTAGGACCAAGGAAGGAGAGATGGGTAGATTCCCATGGGCCGGCCAGGCAGCCTGTCAGTGAGCTCCAGGTTCAGAGAGAGACCATTTTGTCCCAAAAAACAAGATGGAGGGGCTAGAGCGATGGCTCAGCCATTAAGAGCTCTTGTTGCTCCTACAGAGGACCTGGGTTCGATTCCCAGCACTCACAGGGCAGCTCACTACTATCTACTTTTTAACTCCAGCTGCAGGGAACCAGCGCCTCATCTGACCTCTGCTGGCACCAAGCACATATGTGTGAATAAATCATATTCTTTTTTTTTGAGACAGTTTTTTCTGTGTATCCCCGACTGTCCTGGAACTCACTCAGTAGACCAGGCAGGCCTCGAACTCACAGACCCACTTGCCTCTGTCTCCCGAGTGCTGGGATTAAAGGCCTGCACCACTGTTATGGATCCGTCTTTTTGCACACTGTGAAGGTGTATTGCTCTCATTGGTTTAATAAAGAGCTGATGGCCAACAGCTAGGCAAGAGGAGGTTAAACGGGCCTTGTGAACGGGGGAAAAAGTTCATGGATGAAGAAGGGCAGAGTTGCCAGGATATGTGGGAGAAGTAAGATGAACAAGCCATACTGAAGAAAGGCACCACTGTGTAGAAAAGAAATACGGGTTAATTTAAGATGGAAGAGCTAATTAGTAACAAGCTCAAGCTATTGGCAGAGCATTCACAATTAATAATAAGTCTCTATGTGGTTATTTGGGAGTTGGCTGGTGGGACAGAAAAGTCTGCCTACACGCCAACACTGCCCAGCTAAGTCATATTCTTAAAAAGGTTAAAAACTAATAAGATAGGAAGAAACCTGATTTGACCTCTGGCCTCTGAAACATGAACACTTATATGATTATACACCCAAAGCCACACAAACATGTACATAGAACACACATGCAAAAACATACATACAAGTAACATTATACAGACTACGAAAGTTGTTTTTATATATTTAGGAATATATAGATATATTGATTAAATAATTTTCATATACTTAAATTATAAAGAAGAAATAGACCCAAAAAAGCATAGATACATTTTTATTATACATTCAATTGAAGTTTTTAAAATTACAGAGTTCAATGCCAAAACAAAGTTAAAAAAATGCATATTAAGTTTTTATTCACTTGCAATGTTCTCTCCTAAAATCCTGACGAGGAAAACAGCTTAAAGACACATGAAGAGATTCAGTGCACGTCTAGTGGGTTACCATGCGACAAAGACCATGTTTATCCGCAGAAAATAAGATGGAAGAACAGTAGGATGAAATGAACATACTGCACTTTCACACAGTCAATCTGGAAGAGATTTTGGAAGAATGCTAACACTCACCTGCAGAGCTTATGCTGTGCTTGGCAAGCTTGGCACACGAGCGCTCTAACTGCTCAGCTTCTCCCACAGTTTCTCCAGCAGGACTAACACAGGGTCCTCTCACACCCCAGGAACCTTTCTGCTGATCTGGGGATGCTTCTTGGGGGGCCTGGCCACTTCCTTCCAGCTGCTCCCAATGCTCTTCCTGTTTTCCTGCATTTGTCTCCAGCCTCGTACCTGCTGCCACCCCATCCTAGCACAAAGCGCTAGTCCTCCTTCTCCCAAGTGTTACCCGCGTTGGCTGAATTGTGAGTATAAAGTAAAGAGACTAGATCTAAAATTCTCCCTACCTTATGATCATATCTCTACAATGCAAAAAGGCTGATGACGCCTGATTCAGAACATAATTCAATGAGTTTAGATACTGGTCCAAAGTTTTTAAATATATACTCTTCTATTATTAGTTTTCAAATCAAAACCGTTGTAAACATCACATTAAACATTTCAGCAGAAACCCTGTTACCTTACATCATATGTAGTGAGTTCAAAAGTGACGCTATGTTCCCTTTGGCAGATCTACATTACACCTGAACCTCAAACCTTCCATTACACATGCACTATTAGACGACAGCTCTGGGGCCAAGCATATCTCGTGACAATCACTGCTGCTCTCTGAACATACCTGGTCACAAAGCAGCAGAAACAAAAGAAACTACGATCTCTTCCGACAGCTGTCCCTGGAATTTTAGCTCTCTTACTCCCACCGCCCCACACCCGACCCAACCTCGGTGGCCACATGAAGACTACACCAACAAGGAGAATCTGCTAGACCAAACGCTGCCCTGCTCTGTCCAGGTGAGAGTGAGGCCAAGGAGCAGGCATGGCTGCTGAAAGGCAACAATAAAGGGGAAGTTAGTGAAGCCGGCTGCTTCCGATCCCTTCACCATCAAAGTGCAGAGTCTGATAACGTCTCAGGCTTTCCACTCAAAGGGAGAAATCCAATATGCAGGAAATACTAGTCACCTGCTCTTTTAGCAAGGTTTAACTGCGCATCTTGGATTGACTGATTGATTGATTGTGTTTTTTGGGGGGGAGCGGTTCGAGACAGGGTTTCTCTGTGTAGCTTTGGCTGTCCTGGAACTTGCTCTGTAGACCAGGCTGTCCTTGAACATAGACCTCCTACTTCTTCTGCCTCCCGAGTGCTGAGATTAAAGGTATGTACCACCACTGCCCAGCCAACTGCATGTTTTTAAAAGAGAAATTAACAAAATATTACATTTTAAAATGAATAACCTAAAAATTAATTTAAAAAAAATACTACATTTGTTTTGCTCTAACTACAGATGACTGAGATCTCCTAGCTCTGTAGAATCCTCTTAGCATCTTTATCGGCAAGTATTGAGACAACCTAAAACCAGAGTGCCTGTTCTAGGTGATAACCAGTCCTATGAGCTAGTTAATATAATGACTTAAAGGTTGTATTACCTGAATAGTTTCAATGGTGAAGTACCAGAAAGGGTACAATAAATATTTCCCACAGCACCATAAGTTTTTATAAAATACTATTTCAGTTAATATACAATCTCAAGATTTTGGCCCATCATACATACTAGGCACAACATCTTTTACTAACAAAGAGGCCGTATATGCACAAATATAACATGAAAACGATATATTTACATGGTTACTACTGCAGCTACAACCACTGAATACTAGTAGTTTTAAGAGCCAGGAAAAGTCAATTGGCCATTTATACTATGGTCACAAAATTTAATTGCCAAAAGGACCTAATAGCAAACAGACATACTTTACGGCCAAATTACTTAAAATTAAGTATAACAAGTTAAAAAGTAAAAAGGCGCAGATTGCATCTGCCCAATACCCAGCATGCTCATGGATCTCCTACAACCGTTAGTACAGGCTAGGCCATCTGAGTAACGCTGACCTAAGCAAAAACATAACTGAGAGAACGAAGCTCCCCACAACCAACACCGCATTCCAAAGCCAATCTCGCGTGTTCCCTGCATCAATGCAGAGAACTGAGTCCCGGCTTTATCAGAAATCAGTTAATGCTAGAATAAACCTGCTATAAAACATTTATAACAAAATAAATATCTTCAGTTCCTCCACATTAAGTGATATATAAATCATTAGCATTTTATAACATTAGCTCAGGTCATTTGGGGGGACCCAAACACACTGTACAATCCTGAGTAAAAAAAATTAGTGACACAGTTTCTTGGGGATCATTCTTATCAGAAATTAAGAAGAAAAAAATGTAAACCAAAATTTACAATAATCCCCATTTCCATCAGAAGTACCATGAGTTCTTTTTACTTTGGTAAGTTTATAAATGTAAACCACTTATGTGAAAAAGTAAGATTGAACAGAGCTTTGCTAGGATGTCTCCATCAGCTTTTGACAGTGACAGGATAAATAGTCCGAAAGCACAGAGCAGGAGGAGCGGAACCACAGGGCGACTGCATCACCATGCGCTCGGCAGTGCAGGACACAGGGGGTGGACGGCAGCAGCTTACATGCCAACAGCCCTTCATTGCCT